CACACACACACACACACACACACACACACACACACACACACACACACGCTGTGAATGAGCACATTTCAACCATAGCCTGTATACAAGACACCCATTGGTTCGTAGACTGATGTTTTGAAGCCTATAATTTCGCAGTTTGGTCGTCGCTATGCTGGATTTTTGCAGCCATTGAATGGAAGTGACCATATTTGGACTGTGGAGGAGTGATGTAGAGACGGCATATACGGCAGAGACTTGTCAATCGCTGTGTAGCCCCGCCCTAAAGCATCCCCTGCTTTATGGTCTGTTTGACTCTAAATGGACCATAATGTACTAAATGAACATCATGCTGTATTGACTTGAAACTAGAGATTGAGATCATAAACTCATGTTTACAATGTTTACTGAGGGAATAAATCAAGAGAGAAGTAGGAAGTTGGTGGTAAAGTAGTAAATCCCCGCCTCTTGCTTGATTTGATTGATTGCTTGGACTAAGTGTGGCATTGACGAGCAGTGCAACGCTAAAAAGTAAGGACTATTCCAACTTTAATACGCGTCTAAAATGCAATTAAAATGTGGCATGCAGGGCTGTACCCTAGGAAAACAATGGTTTTGCGGGCCGAGGTGGATAAAGGCATACAATAGATTAGCTGGAACAGTCTGGAAAGTTACATCACTTTACTGTAATGCAGCCTTTAAAACCAGGAAAAGACGACACTTATAATATCCAAAATCTAGGACGATATCTAATCTCATATCCCGATATAATATCTATATATTGCCCGGCCGTAGCTGCAGTTCCCGTTTAGTACCTTTTATTGTTGAAACTGGCAGGACGTGAGTGTCTGATTATTAACATGAGAAGCATGGGCTTCAGTTGCATATTCACCACAAAACATCTTCAGCAGAATTTGAGTTACTGACCAACTCTGATGGAAAGCAAAAGTAAAATGTAACTCTCTGTAAAGCACAGTGGAGGGTTATATAAAACTAACACACTGTGTTTATCTGTTGCTCAGAAGCTCTTAACCTCAGATCACAGATTTCATTTCCACACAAAAGAGGAAACGAGAAAGTGAGTATCACCGTGGTAACTGGGCCGCAGACTGTATTCAAGACTCAGAGAGAGAACACCAATGAACGGCTGACATTTTGTCTTCTCAAGCTGTGTGACTTTAGACACTCCTACGCTGTTTCTCCAATGCATGTATGCTTTAGGGCGGGGCTACCTCGTGATTGACAGGTCGCTGCCGCCACCAGAGACGTATACAGCGTCTCTACGTCACTCCTCCACATTCCAAATATGGTGACTTCCTGTTCACTGGTTGCGAAAAAGCAATTCAAGAAGGCGAAGGCTAAATCTACGAACTCGAGGATTCAAAACATCAGTCCACAAACCAACGGGTCACGATGACTACGTCTACTTCTTATAAACAGTCTGTGAGTGAAACATGTTGAGCAACATTACAGAAATAAATGAAATAACTAAAACATGACGTGCCTTGAGAACCGCTCCAGTTTTTAAAAAAGGAGCATTTCTCCTTTAAAGTCACATCATCATTATTAGTGGAGGCGAGATACTCACAAAGAAGATGAGGTTGAAGAGGAACAGGAAGTACTTGGTCGCTGTCAGGCAGCCTTTCCCCATGATGCTGGATCTGTAAACATGCAACAGTCACAATATTTTATATTCATTCATTCATTGATTCATTGATTCATACACACACACACACAGCAGGTGAAGTTATTCTGTATGGGAGCAGAGCGGGATTGTGTATCGGGATTTGCTTTGGGGAAAGAGCGTGATGTGAACAAGTGGTGACAGATGCTTATGGAAGCACAGACCTCCGAGGTTAAGCTGCCCGGGCTGATCATGATCAGGGACTGTGGGGGGGGGGGGGCTCAAATCCTCCCGGATTACACCCGCAAAAACCAGTACAATCACAACATCAATCTGTGAGCACAGGAGGAGAGGTCATTCCCTCTGTGACCTGCAGTCCTCTTTGAGCGACTGAATCTGTGTCTTAGCTCTAGATCCATATGCATTTATATGAAATCAATATATCAACATCAGGGCAGATGAGAGTATTTACACTCACCAAACTGCAGATTAATGTTTCTTGAAGAGGAAACGAGCCACCACTGGAATGTAATTCTACAAACAGTATAATATTAATAATATTAGTGTAGCATGATCTTCATCTGCAACTGTGCGGAAATACCGTGTTTAAACAGACTCGGTTTAGAATTTGAATGTAAACATTATCAATGGAGAGCGGAAGTTTCCTACGATTGGGTAGAGCCCTAAAATCAAGAAACAACGATATTGAAAGATCGCCTAGCCACTCCTATTTATAATATGGTTTCTCTGCATCATCACTGCTGTCAAAAGGCATTCCGGTGTTCGACGCACGTCTCTTTTTATCTGGTTAGTACATTGAGAACCTCATAAAACCAGATGTGATCATATAGTTGGCCAAGTAAAGCAGATTGTGATTTATACGTCACTCTCACAGCCATGCTTCGCCTCGTCTCCCATCACAGGAAGTAATGTGGGAAACAGATTCATGTAAATGAATTGTTCCGACTGCATTTTAAAGTTAAACTCCTATCAGTCTTTGTTTGTAGAAGATTTTTAATTGTGTGTCTGATTGTTTTAGTTCCACCAATAACTAATACATTGGATTATTATTATCATCATCATCGCTGAGTTTATGCGCTTCTATTTTTGCAAAGTGGAAGTTAAAAAATTGCATCCATCTGGTGTTCACCACCAGCTGGTCCGTTGACCTTTCCCCGTCTGTGTGGTGGCCGATATTTACAGAAAATCCCCGCCTGACATGAATGCAGCATCACTCTCTCTGGTTTTTCCCACCTTGTCTTCAGCTTCACTGCCCCCCCCCCCCCCTTCCCCCCGTACATTAATGGCCTCTTACTGGCCAATAAATCTATGAAGATCTGGGTGAAATATGGCGGCCCGACTCAATGTTTCCTCCTGGCAGTGAAGCCCTGTAGCGTGAGCACAGAGCCCGTGTATCTGACCCATATTCCCATCACTGTAAATGGGTTACTGTTACATGGCTGCCTCTGTGCCAGTTGGGGGGGGGGGGGGCCTGCAGGGATGACAGAGTGAAGAGAATATGCAATGGGAAAGACATTTTGGCAAATAGTCGCAGCAAAGCCAGATGGAAGGCATTATAGACTATAAACAGAGCAGAGCTGTAACAAAGACCAGGTCAGCATCTGATACACAGGACGGGTTTGAAAGGAGAAATGCTGTATGAGAACACCCAAAATAACTTGTAGGTCTGTTTTTATACCTAAAACTTGGGGGGAAATTCCTGAGCAAAGATGTTACTACAGAAAAAAGTATTAAAAACCCAAAAGACGCATTTATCAAAAAGTGAAGGATAAGGACAGCAATATTCTGTATTTTTCTTTTTGCCAAATAATCCCATAAAAAAAATCCAAAAACTAACAAAAGCAAAGTCTAAATCATCCGAATGTTTTGCAAATCCCCAAAAGAAAATGCGAATAAAAGCTCGATTCCAACCACTATCGTTACGCAAATATTAAAGGTTGGTTAATCAAGATGAGCACTGTGGGGGGGGGTGCTAATTCTCCAGTTGGAAAACCATTACACCGATGCAGAAGAAGACGTGATGAGCGCCAGTCGAACCTTCAACTATTAATCTGTTTCCACTTCACTTTGTCAATACATGAACTGTTCCCACCTCAGCCAAGCGTAGAAACTATTTTCGCAAAAATTTAAGGTTTTCTTAAAGTTTTTAGTATTTAATTACGAATATAATTCTAGCCCAGCGAGTCGCCATTTTAAATGAGTGTTAGCATGTTCTTGGCTAGCTAGTGTGTTAGCCGTTAGCTCGCCTGCTACAGTAGTTCACTATTGTCATTTTATTGTATTTCTTGACTTAACCTTTAAATCACTGGAACTTTAAGGTTTCCCCAGAGGTCTAACTTCTGGAGGTTGTGAACATGATGAATGTTTTTATGCACTTCTAGTGAAGTTCCTGAAACAAAGGCTTTGTTAAATTTAGAAGTGCCACGGAGCCACAGCTGCTGAATGAATAGAAACATGGCTGCTTCAGGAATGAACACATGATGTTTCAATTCATTTATCAGCCTAAAAGTTGTTGAATATGGCAAGTTTTAAAATAAAACCATAGGGAGGGTACTATTCACAGCATTTTACGCCCATTGTCTGTGCAAAACTGTGCAACGAGTCAAACAGAAAACATGCTATCTTAATTAATCCCTGCAGAGAGCTTTCAACACGGTCTGGAGCACATTACGAAGGCATGAACAGAGACAAAGTCGTAAAAATGCTAACAGCTAACGTTAACTAGCTCTCCTGCAGATTTAAACAGATTTGTTTTCTACAATGTAGCATTATCAAGAAACAGGTGTGTAGTACTGTAGTAGTTTGCACATGTGCAGTAGCCATCGAGGATGTTCGGATCGGGTAGCGAGTGACACGCGTGTTCGGATCGGGTAGCGAGTGACACGCGTGTTCGGATCGGGTAGCGAGTGACACGCGTGTTCGGATCGGGTAGCGAGTGACACGTGTTGTTGTTCCTGTGTCGCATAACGAGCTGTTAGATAACATGATAATGTGATATCAGATCCGTGCATAGACTCCACCGATACACGATCCAGTATTTTAGGTTGTATCAAAAGGTATTTCTGATACCAGTATCTAACCAAGTCCAAGTACAAGTACCACATAATTGCTCTTAAGTGCAGTACTTAAGTAAATTAACTTCTGCGTTTCTCTTCGATTTAATAGCTGGTGTTTTGGTTCATGGCCAGAAATATGTGATATTTTCCATCCTCGTCTCCATTTAGTATTTCTGTAAGGAACTGTTTTATTATTGTTTCATTATTTTTGTCATAAGTCTGAGTTGTACGTTTGTATCTTTATGCAGGTTTCTGTTGGAGAGAAAATGCAGTCGAGCCGGCGGTCCATTCCAACATGATGAGGTCTGCCGAAAACATCTTTGTGCAGCTGCAGATATGAACTATCAGATAATCCGCCAGAAATAAACATGTAGCAACTTTCAGTTTCATTTGTTCTGACCTGTTTTCATATCAGCTGCTTCTGCTTCCTGTTACGCATCGACTCAGCCTCCCAGTGTTGGAGATAATCTCTCGTAAACTCTCTTCTTGGCAAACATCTTCACATCTTTTTGTTTACAGTGACTTTATAATCCATGGCAGCAATTCAAACCACAACAACTTTAGTTTGCCAACAAAGAAAATGTGTGAATACAACAAAACTACATGTACAGATGCATTGCAAAATAATCTAAAAAAATGTTAAAACTTTAAATGACAACAAATGCTCCACTAAAGTCTATTCTGCCACGTTTACCGTGAAAATAATCTAACTGTTAATATCTATTGTCTAGTTTAGTATATAATATAAATGATTTTTAATTTGTCCAGGTTGGCAAATTTAAAAAAAAAAAGAATTCTGACCAACAGTCCAAAAGTATTGTGATATCAGACAAATAAAACCGGCAAATATTCACATTTGAGAAGCTGGAAACAATGATTTTTCAGTATTTTTGCTTTAAAAAAGGGGACAAATGATACATTTATTATCAAAAAAGATCAGAATAAAATCTCTTAAGTCTATGAAGACAACTGATTCAAATTGAGAAAATAGTTGGCAGATTAATCGATAAAGAATATAATCGTTTGTTGCCGCGCTACTGTAATGTGTGAGGGGTCTGAACTTGTGCATAATGCTGTTATTGAAACATTTTCAGCTCATTCTGGTGATAATTTGACAGTTTGGGATGAAAACGAGGCTGTTTCTCCTCATTAATGACATAATTTTCATCTGACAGAGACAACACTGAAGGCGTCAGTTGGACATCGCGTCTACGTTGCTTACACACTCTCTTATACATGCAGAAATGTGCAACAACAACAACAATAAACTCTTTTGTTGTCTTCCCTCGCTGTTCTTTTCAGCAGAATCTATTTGTAGCCTGAAATTTAAATGTCATATTAGGAGACCAGAGATGAACAAAGGAGGCGTTTATCCGACACTCGTGTCCATCATTTAAAGCTTAATGTTGATCAACTTCTTCCTCACACAGACGTTTTCTCTGTTAAACACAGAATTACATTGGAATTAGCTTAGCTTAGCATGAAGACTGGAAGCAAGGGGAAACAGATAGCTATGCTCCATCCAAAGTTAAACAAATACACAAACCAACATCTCTAGAGCTCATTGATTATCACGATAATATTCAGACAAACAAAAATATTAAAAACGACGAGTCGTGGTTCTCGGGGGGAGTCACAGAATGCGCAGAAACCGTGTTTTGGAGGAACAACGACCGTTTCATGTCATCATCATACCAGTTCCACCAAGACCAGTGTTGAGAGCAGCAAGAACAAAATCCCTCACTGGCTTCCCACCCACGAAGACAACCAACTGGACTATCACACACACTTTACTGCTGCACCACACGTGTGACTCATAGTAAATATATCAAAGAGGTTCAAAGCAGAGGTGTCGCAATATATCGGTATTGACAATAACCGTGAAATTTAAAATCATATCAATAATGAATAGTACAGAGTCTCTTATATATATATATATATATATATATATATATATATATATATATATATTCAAACTGTACACTTTCATTCCTCTCTTAACACAGAGGGGTTTGTAAATATATCATTCGTAGCCTGATTTAAACAACATTTTAGTGCTAAAAACATGGAAGTATTTATTTTATATTACTATATTTTCTGATTCAAAGAGATATCCAAACATGCCCTTCTGTAAAAACCTTTGACTCCAATAAGTCAACAAAATGAAACAATAATTTTGAATTTGTGTTCTGGAAATGTATGCAAATGAGCACATATTTAATAAGATAATGCCTTATTTGCACGTTTAAACTTACATTTCTCCAAAAATGTGTAACACAAAAAATAACTGTCCTAATAAAAGTAATCAACTTGGGACGTTTCACTGTGTTATCTGATAGTTTTTGTTGTTTTTTTACCTGCAGTGTCCCCCTTTAATCTGACAGAGCAGCAGTGACAGCAGCTCCCCGCCACCATAATTAATTCATCACATGACCACTCAGTGGTGGAGAAACCAGTTTGCCCCCGCCTGACGTCTTCTTTATTCACAGTCAACTGAAAGGAGCAAGCAGGTTTCCATGGCGACTCTGCAGTGGGGGGGGGCTCACTTCCACAACGTGGAGCGTGTAAACAGAAAATCTCTGCTTTGTTTCTACAACATCTACGACTACTGAGCCGGAACAAGTCTCCGTTTTTCCTGTTGCACTCAAACTCATCACTAGGATCAGTAAAGCACTCGTCTCCTGTCTAAGCTGCGTCTGTTTCACTTCTTTCACTATAGATCATTCTGTGGATTAGTTTCTAGAATAATCGATCCAGAAAATGTCAGAAAATAGTGGAGAACATAAAAAGCGCATTAAATATTTCCACAGAGTCCAAGTTGGCACATTCAAATGACACAAAATCTTCTGTTTACCATCACAAAAGAAAAACAGAAACTAAAAGTGTGAAACTGAACATTTCCTTTGAATGAACCAAAATCCTGTATATTGTTGATCCTATCATTAATAAAGCGAGTACGAGTGATCAACGGTGCGGGCACATTTTTCTTTTTGTCAATAAAACCTCATGTTAGTCCATTGGTCCCAACTGAAGAAAAATATATTGATTCATGTTTATATATTATTTAAAAAGGCTCAGAAATGTCCTAAAACAGCTGGTCATTGTAGTAGCCATTAAACAAAAAGGTGGGGAATTTGTTGGGGGACTATTTTCAGCGGCGGATTAATCCACATTTGGTGGATGAGTATAGTGAGTATTTGTGGCAGTAGGGCGGTGTGTGTTGGATTTAGTCAAAACAAACTACAGAGTAAGATAATATTGATATTTTGGAGTAGTGCATCTATTCTCAAAAACAATGTATTGTTTTTTACTCCGTTTTGAAGCCTCAAGTTCAACATTTTGACCGTCGCCATCTTGTTTTCAGCCGTAGCTATCTTGTTTCACTGCAACCAGAAGTGACACAAGAGGGTGGAATCAAGTACAAATAAGGTAGCCCCGCCCTAAAGCATGCCCTGTATTATGGTCTATTTGACTCTAAATGGACCATCATTTACTAAATAAACATCATGCTGTATTGACCACCATGTTGAATTTGTTTTGTGTGTGTTGGAGAAATGTGAGCAGCTCGAGTGACTTGAACCGTATTAAACCCCATAATCACCCTTCAAGGTATTCCACTAAACAGGGTAAACAGGTAATGAGCTCACTGTGGGTGATGTCTCCGACTTCAGAAGACATGCGGTGCTCACTTTAGTGAGACTCATTGGACATAAAGAGCTGCGTTTTCCTACATTTAACATAAAAAAACAAAACAGGCGCACGTCTGGTGAAACTCATCGAGTCAAAGATCTCAGAATGAAGATAAACCAGTTCCTGTAAAACATTCCTGTCAGACTAACAGCTGCCAGCGGGATCCCCCTCAACTCAACAAGACGCACTGTCCTGCTCCCCGATGTAAGGAAAGGTAATTAAGGTCCCGCTGCTGTGGAGCCAGGAAAAGGATCCAGTGATGGATGCGGGGGGGGGGCTGAAATATCGATGATCGTGCCACCATGCACAACATTGACCCACATCACCATTTGTAACACAGACCAGCCTCACAACCACACAGCGGTCGATAACCCTGCAGAAGAAGACCTGGATGTTTGACAGTCGTCAGTCAGGCAGAAACAAACTGTCCATTAAGGATTGATTAAAAAGGTTTACGTCATTTCTAACAGCTGTTCCTGCTTCTCCAATGGGAGGATTTATTATTTATTTTTCGTCCCCGTTAGCCTCTACAAAGTGGTCACTAGTTTTGCTGGTGGCCATGTCGTATCTCGCAATGTTAACAAAAGGTAAAACAGATTGTGTGTATCCGCCCCTTGATTCGGAGCGGCTCCAAACTTTAATGGGTTCTTCTGTTGCCCATGCTACACAGTTCCAGACAAATGACCTTCTCTCTCACACGGCATGAATAGAAAAGGGTAAAACAAGCAAACATGAAGATTAGAAGATAAATGAAATGACTCCACATACGACACAACAACCAGGACTACACCTCCTCACGTCTGTCCAAAATGTCACCTCATCATTCTGTCCTTTTACATATTTGTGTGAAATTGTCATAATTCTCGAGTTGTGGCCAAACAAGTGTTTTGTGAGGTCACAGTGACCTTTGACCACCAAATCTAAATCAGTTCAACCTTGAGTGCAAGACGACGTTTGTGCCAAATTTTAAGAAATTCGCTCAATGCGTTTCCTGAAATACGGCGATCACGAGAACGAGACGGAGAACCCAAAATCGTATAGCCTCTTTAGCCACGGCACAGACAACAACGGGAGAAAATAAAAACAACAGAACGGTTCCAAAACAGCAAAAACTAAAACATCTACGTGAGATTCATCGTTTGTTGTTGAAGTAACTTTTTAAATAAAAAGAAATTGACATATTTTAGGATTTCTTTCTTGCTTAGATTTTTGTCATGACTTTTAGTGGTCTAAATGAGACGAACACTTTTGTAGCCTAACGTTAGAGTTCGTTAGCTCGTAACTCAGTGTGTAGGAATCAGAAACGTTCGTCTCATGCCGAGGGAACCAGCGCGATGCTAACTTCCCGTTGGCCTACAACAATACGTCATCACTGCAGCGCTCTGAACGCGGCCGATGTTCATAGCTTTCGCAGCTCAAACAAAGACATCGACCAATCACGTTATGTGGAATGTACATATTCAAAAAACAGCTAACTTTAATACTCTTAAAGTTCCTCTCAACCTTTGTCAAGGTTGAGAGGAAAATCAGATAGTTCATCGGCCAAGTAAGACATTAATTAAGACATTTTAAGTTGTCATTTTGGCCTCCGGAGAATTGAGTTGTGCATTTGTCACTAATAGATCTAAGAATATAATAATATCATTGTTAGTTGTAGATTCACCTCCGTTAAACCCAAAACAGCCTGAAAGCCCTGCAGTCAGCTTTCATTGGTTCTGCACATGTTCTTCCGTTTCATTTGATTGTTTAAACATGTTTCTAGCTTTTTAACTACAGTTCTGAGTTTTTTAACAAAGTTTAGAGGGTTTCACTGACATCCCACCACGGTTTCAATCAGTCGTTCCCACAACAGGAACCACAACCATGTCTGCTCCTCGACATTATGGGTTTTTTTCCAGACTTTACTCTGTCTTTTCTTGTTAAATGTGGAATTGTTTTACCTCTTTGTGAACTCTAAAATTAAAATAAAGGAAAAGAATATACTGTGGTTGAACTGGTAACAACCACGAGACACATGCAACCAGAAACAAGCAGATACTGGTTATGTTGTAAGCACAAAAAAAAAAAAAAGGTTGGTTACCTAAAACTACATAAGATCAATAAATCATTTGAACCTTTGGTCAAATAATGTCTTAAGATATTGGATTACTGTCTATCAGCTAGAAAGAACTGATACCGATCAAACAGTTCCGTTTAAAAAGGTACGAAATCCAGTTGGGGTCAAAGTCTGCCAGAGTTAATCAACTTTAGATTCAGTTTCTGTCTGCACCAAACTACAGGCTAAAAACAGGCGTTTAAAGCGTTTGACCTACAAAACTTTAAATCAGTCAGAACATTTCTGAGCAATAACATGTGTTTTTGTGTATTTTCCTACAACAACTTGAACAGATTGACTTGATACTAAAAAGCAGCATACTTTAATAAACAGTTGGTTTCAGTCCAATTTAAACTTTAAACTCGTGTGTGCGTCTCAAAAGTAAGAAGTGGTCTGATAGAGAAAAGCTCCTCATTCTGTCAAATCCATAAATCATGCTCACAGGCGCCACATCATCAGTCCTGCGCCCCAAAATAAAGTCAAACAGCTTCCCACTGTGGCCCGTTTATCCACACAAATCCACCGACTAATCAACAACCCGAGGATCGACCCGAAAGACGATCACACGAGCAGCCACGCACGCCTCGTGTTCTCTCTCTCACACACACACACACGCATGAATTAAGAGAAGCACCTTCCGTTCACAAAAAAACAACAAGTCGCGGATGTTGGTTTACTTACGTTGGTTTTTTTGCGTTAAACTGCGGAGAGAAGTGGAGAGCAGTGCGGGTCTTCTGCGGGTCCTGTGCGCGCTGTGAGCGGACTGAGTGACCTCCGGCTCGACACAACAAAGCAGCAGCAGTGAAGTCTGCAAACTGAAGCAGGAGACGGACAGGCAGCCGGAGAGTCTCCTCTGGTCCCTACCATGTGGCAGCTATGGGAATTAAGAGTCACAACAATGCCCTCCTTTAACCCCCAAATCCCCGCAGAGCCCGCAGCCGCATCACGCAACAACAGAGGATTAAAACAAACAGGCTACTCTATGTTTTGGTCTAGGATGTGTGTGTTTATGTTGGGACAGCATTCCAAGAAAATCTTTGTTTAATTTGACCATAGGCCTATGTGTATTTGTGTATTTGTTCTGTTTAAAAATGGATAAAGGTGGAAAAAGTAATAAACAGCAGTGCATGTAGTGGAGTTATCCACAGACAACTTTTTATTTTTTAATAATTTCATCTATATTGTAATACATTTATGATAGAAACAGTAAAGAGTATATATAGTAAGATATTCCATGATATACACTTAACTACAATGTTAGCCTACTGTTGAGGTACTTGTACTTTTGTTAGGTCACTTTCTACTTCTCTTTATCTCAAAAGGGAAATATTGTATATTTTTACTCCACATTATTCGACAGCTTTAGTTACTTTACTATATTAAGTTTTTTGCAAACAAAACATGTTTATAAAATGTTACAAATTAAACAGTTTATACGAGTGAAGCTGAAATGATTAGTGGATTGACAGAAAATAAATGGCTGAAGTTTATTTCTTTTAAATCCATTTTTATGTAGAAACACGTGATGTTAGACTCGATGCTTTACTTTTAATGTTTTAGTAATGTTGATGTTTGGACTGTTGGTCGGACAACAAACGTTTTGATAGTGGCACGTTGGACTCCGGGTAATTGTGACGCAAGTTTCACTATTATTACAAACCAAACAATGGAGAAAATGATTTGCATATCGAGCCAGAATGAAAATCAGTTAAGTTAAAAATCAGCTCAAACTACAGTAAAATCCTGCCTTTACATTAATGGACAAGTAGTAATGATCGAATGGACTATAACAGTTCAAGTACACTTTTCTGATTTTACTGAAGTATATTTTCAATTCTGGACTTGCATTCTTGGTGAGGCTGTAGACTAGTCTAAATTATTTTTCAAAGTTCACTTTGCTAGGAAGGTACAGTTGGGAAATAACTTTAAAGTTATTGGTCTAAAAGTGGTTACATTTTATGAATTTAAAATATTTATACTAAAGACAAGCCAATTTGTTTTTAAACCATAAAACCCTTAATATTGGAAGAATATATACATTTTATTTTAAAAAGTGTGCCAATATCTTCTGTTCAGCAGATTACAGGCCTGTGCTGCAGCTCCTTCAGTGTGAGGAGGAGGCGGGTGATGAAGTCAGGGTGAAGAAAACAATGCTCCTCCACACACACACACTGAGTCAGTGCTGCTCAGCGTGAGGAACACGAGGCGATAAATGGCGTTATTCTGCATGGACGTACAGTTGTGACGGCAGAGAGCAGACACAGCTTCAGTCTTTGTGTGGTGAAGAGGACAGAAGAGTTTCTCTCGTTGGGACCTTCAGATGAGCGACGTTCAGGATTAATGACACCGTGACCTCAGACGCTTCTCTCACTGAGGGTTACGTCGCGTCACAGTGGCCTCCATTTATTTCTCCTCAGCCACTAAAACAGCTGTCACAGGCAAGTACTCGGATCATTGAGTGCTACTTTAGAGGGGGGGGGGGGGGGGGCTGACTCCACAGCTAGTGGAGGACGAAGTATTCAGATACACATTGAAACTACTTCCAAGTATTATCAGCAAAAGGTACGCAACCTTAGTATCTCAAGGTTTACGCGTTATGGTAACATGCGCTAAGGCTCAATATGTCAAACGAAGAGTTTTTTGGCTGCAACATTAATGCGCCGAATATTGAATTTAGCACCTTTTTTAAAGTCCAGAATCATGTTTAAAACACATCCAGAAAGTCATTTTAAACTAGTTTAAATCTAGTTCATTTCTTATCACCGGGATCCGAGGAACAATTGAAGGAGTAAAATCTGGAACAAAGATTTAACAGCAATGAATAAAATCAGTGTTTGAATCTCTGAACAAACCACAAATCATGGATGAAAAATTTAAAACATTTTATTTAAAAACTATTCTAGAATCTCCACAGATTGTAATCAATCTAAAAATAAAGTGCGAGTGAAATATCCATTGACAAAAGGGGGGGGGGGGGGAAGTTCGGCTCAAGTGTTGATCACAGCGGCCGCCATCGTCTTCACAATGGACGACGTCAGCTGAGGGATGAGGCTGATCTTCATCAGCTTGCTGCTCGAGTACTTGTTCTTCACGGCCTGCAATACATTTTATTTGTGTCGACATAGGACCACAGGTTAACAGCACATTTAAATAGGAGAGTTTTTAAAGTGGCGAGTGAGGGGGCAGCAGTAGAGAAGTTATATTTAACATAAATCAAACGCTCGGTGCTTTGTCGGCAACTCACCTGGAATTTGGTTTTCCCCTCAGTCACCAGCACAACATTTTGGGCGATGTGCTGCATGATCGGCTTCAGGTGGGCCGCTTCATACGTGGAGTAGTGCTGCTGTGTGGAAGACTGACAAGATGGAGCAAGTTAAAAATAAGACCCTGAAAAGGTTGTTTAAGTGCAGACGTTTCTTCAAGCAAACTCACCCACGGCAGCCCCTCGAGCAGCAGCTGGGAGAGACCCAGTGACGCAGCAGCGATCTCAGAGGGCCGATAGTGAACCATGTTGTAGTCGAGCAGCGTCAACTCCATCAGATACTTGGCCAGCGTGTGTCTCTCTACATCAGACTGAGACACAAGACATCAGCCCACTGACCAGTCCACTTTACAGATCCTGTCTTGTTCAAGCGCAACTCATAACCCGTTTACGAGTTCACATTAATCTGTCCAGCAAATTAAGGATTCAAGTCTCTGAATTTATTGATAATTGAGTAAAAGATAACAATTACCTCTTGATTATTCTTATTTAGTCATAAAAACGTTTTTTCTGCCACTTAAATTAGCTGCTCTTGCTCTGTTGGTATTCAAACTACTGAGTAAAGTCAAAGAAATGAGCGCTCAGCCTGCTTTTTGTTGACACCAAAGTTTGGTGGCCTACTCGCTTCGGATCTCCTGAAGAAATAAAATCCTGCTTTTTATTTAAAGCAATGAACACGTGTACGCGGCCAGAGGAGATTGACGTGAAAACACTGGACCCAATGTTAACGTACAGAAAAGTCAGCTGAACTCTCAACACTAGTTCAACTATATTGTTTTTGTAACAGTAAGATAATATAACTCACACTGGCCACCTTGGAGGCCCGTCTAAGGAAGTGCAACGGAAGAGGACGTCCAAGTTCAAAGTTGAGAGTCCTGAGAACCAGCTGCTCCATCTCCAGGATCTGAGCCTTGGAAAAGGCGTTGTCCGTGATGTAGGCGAAGTCCCCGACCTCCGGAGCGTACATCTCCTCGTACTTACAGGCCACCAGCATGGCCGTCACACCAACAAGCTGCAGCTTTCTGCGAGACACCGGCTGGACCTGCAGCACAGCAACGCTTTCGTTACAGTTCATTAAACACAAAGAGAAACGACTTGTGACGGTTCTTACCTGGAGAAACCGATCCAGGACGGCGACTGTGAGGTACAGAGTCTCCTGCAGCAGCTGGAACCTGGAGTGAACCTGGACCAGCCAGTCGACCAGAAGAGCCCTCATGCGTCCAGAGATTTCATAACCCTGCATGTAGTTGGCGCGTACAGCTTGCTCCACCTGTGGAGACGGACAGTGATGAAACAATACAAAAAGGAGAGAGCAGAGAGTTCAGCTGATTGTTGAGGGAACGACAAACACCTCCAGGACATGTAGATAATTGTAGATGTCTTTGACGTATTCCGAGCAGAGCTGCGGCAGTCCTGAATCCTGCTCGTCGACGTCCTGCACGGTGAGCAGCGCCTCAGAGAAAGCCTGGCAGAGCTCCTCCTCCTCCCTCATGGACGCATCCGCCAACTCCTCTGAGACCGAGGGCAGAGGATCTGCAGGTGCCGAGCCCCAGACCACTGGATGCACCACCTGGACCACCGGTTTATCCTTCTGGGCTGGTTTGCCCGATGCTTTGGCTGGTCCGGTCCTCTGGGGAAACAAGTGAAACGCAGCTTTATTTAGAAATAGAGTAGATGTTTTGGGCTGGAAGGCTTGTTTCAGAGACGTTTAAATGTATCCCATTTTTAAAAATACTTAAGTTGGGAGTTACTTAAGGAGGTGAGGTTGTAACCACATGGTGGCAAGTTGCCTTGGATGAAAGTGTCATCTAAATGAACGAAACTGCATCTTTTCCTTAAAAGAGATATCCTCCACCCTTTTGGAAAGCTTTCCACGTGATTTTGGAATCGTGGACAGGCGTGTCCATACTTTAAGACAATTATTGTAGCTCGTGCCCAGGTGAGTTTTTGAGTCATTATTTGATTCACGTTACAAAAACACTGAATACAGATAAGACAAAACGAAGCCCGGTTATTGAGCTAAACGGTGCTAGTCCTCCAGGGTAACGTTACCTTTGTGTTGACTGCTGCAGCCGCAGTGAAGTTAGTGATCTCTCCGAGAGCAGCTCTCCTCACACCGGCCGTGGCTTTGCTCATCTTCACTGGGTTCTCTGCGGCTGGGAGCGGCTAAAAATAGGGGAAAAAAAGGACAGAAAACTCAGATATAACACAAGCTTAAGAAATGCTGTCTGGTGTAAAGTGTCAGGGAGCAAAAACGCCAAAGATAACGTTAGCTAACGATGCTAGCTAGCGAAGCTAACAGCAGCTATCATCTAAAACAAGCAGTTTAAACACCGACATAACTTCCGTTTACTCACCACAGCACGAAGTTCAACAGAAGACATGTTTATCGTCGGTAGACAAGAGGATACACTCCGAGTTAAAGCAGCGACGCGGTGGTTTCTTTATCTGTTTAGCAGCAAGCAGCACGATTTACCGACAAGATCCGTGAATAGCGAGCTCTGCAGGTAAACAACACTAGCACGAGTCGCTTTCAAATAGAGCTCCGTCAAATCTGATTGGACGCTGCTACAGTAGAGCGCGCTCCTGATTGGCTGACAGACAAACGAGGTCAGAAGGTACAGTTCTGGTGATATTTAAAAATTTGAGAAATAATAGATTTAAAGATGCTGTTGTTAAGTGGTTGAATAAGTACAACTCAGATCCTTTACTGAGGTAAAAGTAGAAATATCAGATTGTAAAAAAATTCTCATGAATTCAAAATGTCACAAGTATAAGTATAAAAGCAGCAAAATGTACTGAAAGTACCAAAACTATATAAGCTTCATATGTATTAAATTACTGAATTACTGATTAATGATGCATTGTTGATTCAGAATGACTTCAGCATCTTTGCTCCACATTGGAATCCACTATGTCCAAGTGTTGAAGAACTAAGTACATTTACTAAAATACCGTTGTGTGGTACTTGTACTTTAACTATTTCCATTTTATGCTAATTAACACAACATTTTGGAACATCTTGTTGAGTTACTCAGTTAGTTTTCAGATTTGAATACAAAAATAAATCAAGTAATAAATGATGTACTATTATACATTAAGCTACCCAGCAGTACATAAAGTAAATTAAAATATATTTACCACCTGCAATATTAAAGTGATGAACACCGTGATGCAATGATACACATCAATTTGAAATGAGGCATTCTGTACAATGGGTACTTTTGCTACTTTTAGAATACTTTGATCAGATTTAGTTGCTAATACTTTTGTACTTTTACAGCGAGGGTTGTTTGTGGAGCTGCTGCTTTAAAGCTGGGCATCGTCTGTGACTTTAAAATGATAAAGAAATGTGTGAACATTTGGGCAAAGTGTTTACAGCAAGATCAGGCTGACAATACCTGGATAACAGGTAGAAAAAATAACATTTATCCCACAATGTGTTAAATGTTCCACCTCCATCACCAGCGAGTCTCTCACGTGTCTGTCTGCTGTTTAGTGTTTATTGATCAGAGCTGTTTGGTGAGTGAATGAAAACATTAAAGCTGCAAACGATATCATAAAACAATAAGCTGACAGACACTAACGTACGGCAGAGTTTCACATTACAGCTCATTTGATCCAAAATATTGATTTGAGCAGCTTTAAGAAGTCTGCCGTGTTCAAATCAAAGACATGTCACTCACATGCTTACTTTAGACCAACTTACCGTGAGAGCTGTTGCAAAGAGAAGTTTTATATAAAACATATATTTAAAGCATAATTTGCAACTTTAAAATGGTCATGTCTGAATTAACTGTTTCTGAACTGAAGTTATTGGTGAGGCTCAACTTTTCCTCACAAACTGTCTGATGGTATTTTATAGTTTTCTTTTTGTCAAAAAATCTCATGAAAAGCAAAACCAACAGTGAAGGTATCGACTAACATATGTTATGTATCAAAGCCACAGAGCTCTATTGTTGTTAAAAACTATTAAAAAACATGAGGCGCCACACTGTCACTGGCTGACATGCTCCTTCATCACCAACACACACACACACAGTGGAGTATTTTTGACTCAATCCCAAACACACCGTCCTGCTGCCACAACTCACTGGAGCATCAAATGTGGATTAATCCGCCACTGTAAAGTCCCCCAAAAACAGCACTACTTCCTCCCGTAAATTTGATTAAAAACCAGCTGATTTAGATAATATCTGATATTAAAAATATATATATTTATTTATATTATATATATATACATATACATTTATAAATAAATATATATTTATAATTTTATATATATTTATTTAAAATTACACATATGTATATATACATATATTTATAATTATATATATACATGTATATTCATGTCTAAATATATAGATATATACATTCATAATTACACATATAATTGTAAATATATATATATAGATATGCAATTTTATATATTTATAATTACATATATATTTATATATACATGTATTCATAAGTATGTATATGTACATATATATTTATAATTACATATATATATTTACATATATTTAAATTATACATAATTTTACATCTTCAGTAGGAACCAATGGGCTTGGCGCTGAGAGCCACAAACAGGAAGTCTAACTCTTACGGTTGGTTTTGCTCTTTTCGTCGGGTTTGTTGACAATAATGCGTAAAACATGGATTGTGACCAATATCTGCGACAGGAAACAATATGAACAGAAAATACAGAAACATTTGAATCCAGTGGCCCCCAGAAGAGGCTCGAGAAAAACAAGAGTCACAAAGAAACTTTATATAGTTTTCAAGTATTCAAAACTGTTAAATAAGTACAAGATGTGTTCACATGATTTACATATCGGACAATATATGCACTGTCCATTTTTAATTCTCTTTACGTTTCCCACTACCGACGCAAACTCGCTAAAATATCCGCAAACTATTCACATTTGTTTTGCTTTTTTTTGAAGTTTTTTTTTAAAAAACTTTTTGGATCAATTGTAAATGTTGACAGCTGTCTATCGGACAAAGAGCACACAGACGAACACCTGGAACAGTTTACAGTGTAGGATGAAGACGTCCAACAGAGGGGAAGGACAGACTGAGCCAGGATCAGAACGGTGATGAGCTGCTGGTGATATGAACAGTACACATTAACACAAGGAGAAGTGGGTTAACATTCAATCTCAGTTGATCCCTTGATCTGTTGGACAGTTCATTTATAATAAAATAATATACAGAAGGACTGCCGGCGGACTTGTGTTGAAGTGTTTCAACAGTTCAAAGGGGAAGCAGATGGCTTAGCATTGTCACTCATTGATTAGTTACAAATTTGGTCTAAATGTGTCAAAAAGCTCTTCGTTAAGGCACCTAATGCTGTTGGATAGACGGGTTTCTACATGCTTTTGCAAATTAAAAAAAATGAAATAAAAGCAGCTGTAAATAAAAACAAAAACAACTTAAATAGGCTACAAACACAACTGATAAAGACGTGTATTTCTAGAGAATTTGACGTTAATGCAGCCACCATCTACCAGTGAAGAGTCACACAGGACAGAAACGGTGAGGAAATAAAAGTAGCACCATAGAGGAAAATAATACATGACTCTACGCTAGTTAAGAACAGTTCACATGTGATTTTTCCTCCTTAAACTCTAGTGTCAGTTGGACATCTTAACTTCCCAAAAGAATGTGATCAGGTAAATAAAAAGTGAGGAAACAGATGATCAGTTAAGGGACGTGAGCCGGTCTTTCTGTACATTACTTTTCTTGATTAAAGGTTTAAAAAGCAATTAGGTAGCCTTTATGTTTGGATTTGGTTTGATTCACCTTTTGAACTACTAACGCGTGCCATGTCTCCATTACACAGTAATACACCGTGTGTGCTTTTATTTCTAGGAACTCTGCAGCTTAATTAACATAATCTATTTACAGCGTTCTGGGAAAAAAAAAAAACTAAAGTTGTTCGACTCCGTTGCATCATTCATGTCATGAACGTGTAACGACCGCAGGCAGAAAGCAAACGCTGTAGCTCCACATGCGTATTAATGCAAACGTTTCAGGGTGTCGACATTGTGTCAGTGGTCTACAGGACATTAACATTTGGTGCGTGATAAACACATAACATATATACACACACAAATATATATAAAACTGTCTTTCTAAGGTGAATAATATGATTTGCTTCAAGGATTACGGTTGCCTGACGGGACTCAACAGGGTGATTAAACTTACACAGTAAATAATGTTGATAGTTAATGAATTAGTGAAATTCAAAGTGGTTCTTTTAGCAGGAGAACTACTGAGATAATGACGACATGGCAGCTGGATCCAAATGAACCGACTGATGTTGTAATGCCTCTGGACCAACCACACCGCACCGTACGCTCTGCGTGGGTCGCCACGCAAAAAAAACAAAAAAAAGGTACAAACTAGAGACAGAAATCAAAAGTTCATTAAAAACCTGCCTATGAGACAGAGGGGATAGTCACCATACTGTACACTTTCTACAATATCCATGTCCATTATGAATATAACAAGTGCATTCACTTAAAGGAAGAGTTGAACTAAAAACAAATACTCGTCCTTCACTTACGGTCACATTATTCAGAAACTATAAAGAGGGCAACTTACTGCAGTTTAAATTTAGAATAGTGTGCAGATTAAATGGGTAAAAGTAAGCTTTTGTTTTTATAAGACCTCGATGTTGAACATAAGTGAAGAACAGAGATTTGTTTTAGGTCAACAGCACCTTCATTCAGAATTTTTCAGCATTTTTTTTGTTTTTAAATTACTGTACTTCTTTTACATCAACACAACAGTTGATTAGCGAGTCATCTTTATTTACAGGTGGGGTGGGGGGGAGTGATGAGCTCCACAGCTTATGCATTGAGCCTCAGAGACTGATCCTCTCTCCTCCTGGAGGAGATATCGATGTCTATGGAGTCTTTACCCACGATGAGTCGGAGGCGCTTTGCTGGAGGAAGTGGAATGAAATCGTCTTCGAACTCATTGTCGAAGTAGTCATCGTCGTCGTCCTCGTCATCGTCGTCTTCATCCTCTTCCTCGTCGTCCTCGTCCGACGACGGCTCTGCCAGGACCTTTTGGGTCCGATGTCCACCATTCCTGGCCTCCAGACTCTGGCCCATGTCCCCATTATAGGACATCTGGTCCTTAGACTGGGATATCCTGCGTGCGTCGTCGTCCCTCTTCAGCTGGATCTTCAGCTTGGTGGAGTTACTGTGGACCACGGGGGAAAAGCCGTTATTCAGTTTGGCGATGTACGAGCCGCCTTTGTCCTTGTCGTGGTCCTTGCTGAACTTGATGCTGATTTTGCTGGAAGAGGCCGAGTTGACCGTGGAGGCAGAAAGGTTGGAGGAGCCAATGGGGTCGTTGGCGTCGTTGGTCTTGCTACTGCTGCTGTCCCTCCGCCGGCGGAGTGTCAGTTTGGGGATGCCCGTGTTGTTCTCCAGGATCAGCTGGGCGTCGTATCGTGTGATCTGACGCTTCTTCTTCCCCTTGTCCTGTGACCGGCAGCTGCTCTTACCCTTGTCCCTGCGGAGGGATTTGCTGCCGTTGGAAACCCCGTTGTAATCCCTGTGCCGGTCGGCGAAGCTCAGCAGCACGTTACCGCAGTCTGAGAAGTTAGCAGCGTGGCCAGCAGCCACCGGCATAAACGGCTCGCCGTACGAGTCCTCGCATTTAATCGTCCGCTCGGTCCGGAGCCGAGACGGCCGTTTCTGCCTCGAGCACGAGCCTCTTCTAGCGTAGCCGGCGTCCAACGCTGGCTGCTCTAGACCGACTCCGTGGTGGAGGTACTCCTCCATGTCAGCCGGCTCTGTTTTAATGACCACTCCACCAGGGACTGGGCTCAAGCCGTCCATGGCGCTGGGCTCCAGCTTAACGCCTGCTGCAGTTTCCTGGGCCTTTATGAGGGTCCGTGTGGACCTGCGAGTCCTGTACGTCGAACACTGGCTGCCCTCACTGCCTTGCACGTGCGGTAGATTGCTGTTTTCCTTGGCAGCGTGACGGGTGAGGCAGCCCCGCTGGCCTAACGTCTGCTGCATCAGCTCCTGTCCATCCTTCTCCTTCTTCACGGTGACACCTTTACACAGCGACGACACCTTTGAGTCCCTGAGACCCAGCTGGCAAGTCTCTCCTTTGGCCAACGCCTTGGGCTCTGCACCCCTCCTGCGACTCCGCAACTGGACTTTACTTAGTGAAGGCTTGGATTGGGATTTTAGTCTCTTTGGTACCCTGTTATTGTTTACACGACCTTGTTTTGAACATGAGGTAGTAAGGGCTCGTGACAAAGTCTGTCTGGATTGAGTCCTGTTTTTATACTTCAGGCCAGAAGAAGATGTTCTTTTTCTGGCAGCTGGTGGGAAAAGATAAAATGCTGCACGTTACGTATTGATAACATTGTCAGAAACCCGCCTACACATGTTGGCTGGGTGATATTTACACTAGTAATGCAAGTAAACTGAGAAAGACAGAATAGTCTCATATGATTGGGAGATTCATCTGTAGCAGCAGAGGCTTTTATATCTTACATTGATGTGTTTTTGGCATTTCCTGAGAGTCGACGTCGGTATGGGAGCCTACAGAGTGACTATCTGAGCTCCTGTTTCCTTCCCCCAGCTTCTTCAGCCTGTTGAGACGCTTGTCCGTCTCCCGCAACCCGTACTTGCTGTTGATCACCGGCACTTCCACTGGCAGCCCAGCTTTGGATTTGAAAGCACCAGTGCCCCGTCTGCACAACAAGAACACAATGAGTGAAAAGATTAAACTGAAGAAATTGCAAAAATATAGCTTTACTTGTGAGTGAATAATGTGTAAAGTTCATATTTTTATGCGTTGGCTCAATACACCATATATTTCGATGAAATTTTTACCAATTAAAGAAAACGGTCATCTTAATTAACGGCACATATATAAAGTCATACTGTACATATAACACATTCAAGACATTCTGTACAGTGTTACACTTACCGTTCACATGTATAGCATTCACAAAATTCATTGTTTTCCCCAAAAAACCCGTCTCCGTAATAACATGAGATTTCTTCTCCTGGTTCAATGTCCCTCAAAACCTTCACACAGGCCGTGTCCCGTCCCGTCGACACAAACTACACAAAACAATAAAAACAGTGTTAATCTACAAAGCCTCCACACCAATCGTCACATGATTGTTTTAGGTTTTTCTTCAGGGGATATAGTGAGGTGGGGTTGTGTGAGGTACTTATTCATAGAGTATTACCTAGTAAACGGAGAACCAACACGGGATCAATGTTGTGCTGTGGACGTATTTAAGACACCTAAAAGAATCAATATCAGTTTAAGTTTACGCTATATTTAGAATATTACAGTTTGCCTAGCTGTCAGACAGCCCCGAGGAACTGAAGTCATTATTTATGCTCTCTTCAAAGCCTCCATTGAAAACAAATAATTTAACAAGTAATTTAAACCTCGCTGAACACAAGAGTTTCAGTTCTACCGCTGCCTTGGTTGGTTAGTTTGTTTGTGTGACTTTGTTGAATCCAAACCAACCCTTTAAAACACCAAAGTCACACAATAACACAAACAAACTTACCAATCAGGGCAGCGGTAGGCTAACCAAACCCGTGTTCTGTGAGGGAAGATTACTGTTTTTGTAAAGCCGTGAAAATGTTATAAATATAACGTACATTATAACAAACTGATCCATTTTGCTGTTGCCCCCGTCCACAGCAGTACATTGCTTTGCCCTCATGCTGGTACTCGTGTCTGTTCTCCAAACTGCCGGCTGCCATCTACCGACTACGGATCAGTACCTCATAGAACCACACCTCAAAGCACCCGTACTATCCCTTTAAGAGACCTTTCAAAGAACCTACCTTGCAGTTTGGTCGACAATCTGAAAAAAAGAAGAAACACAACAAAATTAGTATCGTTATGACTATGAGGAATGTTGGACTGGTGGAGATTTATAATTCTCACAAGATTCAGGCATCTCATCATGTTGTTACAGTACCAATAACACCCGGTCATTAGCAGGGCTTGACTGGGACAAAGAATAATCCGGCGTGGCATTTTTGGCACAGACAGACAGCCCAATACAATTATTATTATTTTTTTTTAAAGGGCCTTTAAACTGATTAACCCTCTGAACCCCAGAACCTGCAGGAGGGACTTAAAAGCATGTTTTCTTCAAACAATTGGCAAAACTACACCGTTTATCACAGCCAGAAGCTGAAGCTGTAAAAAGAAATAAATTCTGAGCTCCTCAGCGCAACTACGAAGCCGTGACTGACTCGGTTGAGACCAACAGTCACGTTAGAAAACTTCTGTGAAACTTCGAGTGAACTGCAGGCTGCTGAATACAGAGCATCGGGGAGAGGAAGAGGTTGTAAAAATGTAAACATGTCTGTTATTTTTGCACATTTAGCTGCATCCCTCTGTAGATTTGTTTTCTCCCCTTGCACTTTCAGCGATACATTTTGACGCCCTTATCCATCCATTGAAAATGCCCAGACTACAACGACTAATACCGTGATTGATGAACGCAGCTGGTCCCAGCCAGAGCTGCGCACAGTTCTTGCGGGTTGAGTACATGACGCTGAAGTCATTCTCCCCGTGCCGGAGCAGCATATTTTCTTCACTCTCTGAAAGCTCAGCAATGCATCCCACCAGGTACTCGATCTTGTCATTTCTTTTCCTGTAAAACAGCACAAGGTAGAAAGGCGTGTTACACATTGCAGAGTGTCAAAGTGCTTGTACGCACAGAGTCATATAGCTGCCGTGTTCCATGAACTTCCTATATATGGGCAGGCTATGTTTGTGATGTTTGTGTATTCGTGGCGACCTGTCACGTCCCGGTGCACGAAGCTGCATGCAGATTACTTAGTATGTAGATTGATGAATGTTATGCAAAAGCCAAGTGCACAAATCGAAATCACACCCAGAAACTTTAAGCCGTACACCATTAGCTGAAGTTAGCACAGCATGCTGACTCGCGTGAGTGAGCCGCACGATGGCGAGTGCAAATTAAACGCAGGAGCTGAAAGACCCGCTTGAGGGTTACAACAGCAACGGAGAGTTTATGAAACCAGGACAGTGCGTCAGTGTCGCTCCACCATTGTAGGGGAAAAAAGAAAACAATATTTTGTATTAGATTGATTAATAGATGATTTTCAGTTGTATAGCCTATTGTGGCCTGTAGTCTTTTAAAAAGGAAAGTGTTTGTTCAGTGTCATACACAAGTGTTTGAAATATTACTAATTTTACAATTTAAAAATTCTTCATCAGTCCCCAGCAGGAGAACATCAACACCTGAACTACTGTCTGTTCAAAATAAATGAAAACAAACAATCTTTATCCATTTGGGTTGTTTTTCCTTTGTCGTAGCGAACCGTGACTATGTGTACCGTTACATCCCTAGTGCAGCCTAATGCAGTTAATATTGATGCATCGAACCACTGGTGGACACAAAAGAGTCGTTCAAACAAAGATGAATTAGAACAGTTAAATGCATTTAGAGGGGGGGGGGCTAATGGGAGCAGATAGTTCACTAGTGGTGCTGTCATAGTCAGAAATAACAGGTGGCAGCATGTCCTCACCATTCCTTTGTTGCCACAATTTTAGCTCCATTTTGCTCTGATGAATATCGATTACAAGGGAGAATCTCAAACCCGCTGTCTGTGGCAAACATCCGCAGATACACAAATACCTGTGCAGAACATAGAGTTAGTCATCTGGTTGTTTGTGATGCTGGAAGACATGAAGGCAAGATCTTAGAGAATGTTTTTTACGTGTTGCTTGAAGAGCTTTTCTTGAGCTTTCGTCTTGTGGAGAAAAAGATTTCGGGACCAGTCTCCGGTCGTCAAAGCTCTGAAAGCTTTCTCCAAGTTGTCGTGTTTCTTGAAGCGCTCGATGATCTCCTTCAGCTCTTCTTGTCGTCCCTTAATCGGTCGAAATCTGTGAGGACGCATTCGTGGCACAACGGGAAATACAAATGTGAAAATCAGAAACAAAATATAACTTATTGCAAGGAGAAGCCATATGTCCACATAAATAGGACCACTTTTATGTGCAACTGCAAAGAGGCTGCACCACCATCAATTCCCCTGTGGTGAATCTGCTGACCTGGTGTTCATTTTGTGAGTTTGAAAACCCAGATATTGATCCAGGATGAGGCCCGTGGTCAGGTCATCATGCTCACACAACTCCTTGGCAGTCATTCCTGAAGTGGGCACATAGCGCTTCTCTGCCTCCAGACTGGCTGCACTAAACCCTGTAAACACCAAACGCAGACTGGTGTTAGTGCATGTGTCTGATGAAGAATCTACACGTTTTTTAACAAACGCGTTTGACTCACTGCGGCTACATCTTCGACTTCTGTTTTTGCAGTGGCGCAGGGATGCCCGCTGTGAGTGCTGAGAGCGAGTCTGGCTCACATGTTGCTCGCTGGTCAACTTGTTTCCGTGTCGTCTGCCATTTAATACCATGTTCTTGGATTCGCCCAGCCACTTCATGCCCACAAGCCCCCTGATCCAGTTGCATTTAGTCTCCGAGATGAACAAACACTCTTGAGTGGGGAAGACTGGGGTCTAGAGTTTGAAACCTGGAGGCAGAGCAAAAAATAAAACACAACAAACATTACTCGATGCCAAGAAATCTAATTAGTTTACACAGACTGAAGAAATACAAAACAAAATGGGATGAAAATGAGCAGTTGGATGTGCTACCAGCTCAAATACTGCCAAGAAAGAAAAAAAGTTAATGCATTACTAATTTATTTGTTTTATTCCATTTGTCCCATTTAACCTTACTAAATTGCATCTTGGCTGTGCCAAGATGGCAGGATGGCAGCTTTACACACATATACATCTCCCCCTCTCTCTCCCCCTCTCCCCCTACCTACATACATACATACATACAACACAATGCAAGGACGACGCTTTGGGATACAAGGTCCTGGACTATTATCTGTGTACATTGCAAATCTTCTCTATACTTCTGTGAACTTTTACACATTACCTGGGCAATATTGTACACATTCTGCAGAAAACTGTGCCACGCGAATATATTGTTTATATTTTTCAAGACATTTTCTCATAATATATTTATTTTTCTTGCAGTATTTTCTTTTATCTTTTAATTTCTCTTACTATGTTTATTGATATGCACCAAAACACCCCGGCAAATCCCTTCCACGTGTAAACCTGCTTGACAATAAACCTGATTCTGGACTCTGCCAAACAACAAGTCTACCTGAGGTGAGGTCCCCGTCTGTCACAGCTATCACCCAATAAAACCAGTAAATAACCAGTCAACTCACCCAGTGCTGAGTACTAATGTTTACACGTTGGTGGAATGCAACCAAGTTTACTCAAGTACAATATTTAGGTGCTTGTACTTAACACTATACTTATACTTTTACTCCAATACATTTCAAAGGGAAATATCGTTTTTACTATGCTACATTTATTTTAAAGCTTAAATTACTTTGCAAATTTAGAATATTGTTTACAAATATTAAATCGGCGAATAAACTGTGATAAAGCCATATAAAGTATTTAAAACTAGCTCCACTTCTGATGTTTTACACAGTGGTATTACTACTTTTGCTTAAGTGAAAGTTCAGAATACTCCTTTCCACCACTAATTTGTAAACACACAGGAAGTGTTGAGGAAGTTTTAAATAATCCTGCAGCGCCGCTCAATGGTAACCCCAAACAATGCACTGGCTTGCTGTCAAGTGCAAAAGTAACGTCTTTTGGTGCCACCACACATAAAATATCGCTTTGTTAATTTAAGGACCGAATATATCCACAGAAATCACGATCATGGTTTAGAATCACACCAACAACAGTATACAGTATTTACACACGTAAGAAATGGGGGTTCCAAATGCGCAATTCCGTCGCAAGGAGCATCATCTCATTTATAATCGATGCATTAAAAAAAGGCTTCGCAATTTTAGCTCAGAAGCTAACGTTAGCCACAACAAAAACCACAACACGCCACGGGAATGAGGAAAGGCAGTAACACACACACACACACACACTGCCCATCATACACACACATATACAAACACACAGACACGACAGTTGTATCAGAGGTATCAATCAAGCTTTGCATTGTTTGCCAACTGTCGTATCTCCGCCCATAGACACTCCGTTAGCATGGAGCTAATTACCAAAACGGCCGTGGTTGTGCGTTAGCTTGCAGCAGCAAACACCGGCAATAGTTAACGTCTCCCACCAACATTAAACACACCACCAGTTCACCTGTACTTCAACACAGAGACCGGAACAGAATATAGCACATCGGTGGTGATATTTAACGATATTTACATCATAATACATTCAACTCCACTCCTCAAACACCGACATCGTAATGGTTCCATGAAGCATGCTAACATTACACTAATAAAACCATAAAAAGCCAACTTGAACTTTTCCAACCTGTATTAAGAGTACAAACATTTGGTTAATTATACTAATATACCGTATATTTACTTCTTAGTTTGCGTTAGCTAGCGTCAAACTTAACTTCAGTAGGCTAACTTAGCTCCCGTCGGCTAGCAGTCAACAACAAGAGAGTCGGTGATAACAGAACGCCGTTATCTTTACCCTAATTAATATAATATGCATTCAATATTCGACAGTAATACCCGATGGTTAGCTGCACACGTGTCCCAGTACGTTACCTGCAGCCAACAGCAGGCTAACAGCGACAGCTTGGCTTGTTTGATGTGGAAGCCATTGGCTAGTTAGCTTGTTAAGCTAACAGCTAACAGGCTAACTATGTCGTTTGTGAGCGAATTAAAAGTTAGTTTAATGTGCTGGTATACTTGTAGACAGTGCACACGATCCTTGGTAGTCATCACATCAAGCAGTTATGACCCAATGCTCGATACAGGCGTTATTTATCACGATAGATAGTTAAATAGCTGAAAGCTTTTACACGCGTTGGGAGCGTTTAAATGTCTCGAGCAACACGGAAGCAGAACAAACACACAAATACTCACAACGGTGATTTTGTTGAAAAACAATCACGAAATAAAAACTCCTTCAAACTAATCCAAATTTGGCACGACAAACCTAAACGAAAAAATATCACAGGAAACACATTTTTTTTTTTTTTAAAGAAACATTAAAATTCAAGATGGCGGAGAAATAGAGAGAGAAAGGCCGCATCACAGCCACATCCCCGAGAGAAGATAGATCCAGCAAAAAAAATAACCCAGCCGTTTTTGTCGACCATCGGCACAGAAATGAGAAGCAATAATCGGAAGATTTTAGTCTGAAACTATGAAAGTGAACGTTGTTGTCGACTTTTCGTGGCTTTCGGATGTCGAAAAATGGTTATCTTAGTTTGAGCCAGTACTTGTCGGATGTACACAAAAGTAGTGCTGCATAAACAAACCTCTTTGCGCTTCCTAAAGAATCTTACGGTAGTTCGAAGACAACAGTGAGGTTCTGCCTGCTCCGTTCCCCGCAGAACCTCACCAGAACAAGTGAACTTAGAACCACATATAAACCTTATGACTTCTGCGTTTTTGCTACATTAGTACTGAGATGTACCTCCTCTTCACTCTTCTCTTGTTACTGTGTAAATAGGCTGTTCACCAGTTCTTTCTCTACAGAACCAGACAAGGTTCCATCCGGATGGACATTGTTAATTGTTCCACATCACTGATTTATTCTTTGACATTCACTTAATGAGTTCAATTGTTTGCTTACTTTTTCTTTTAAGATAAATACCCACACAATGTTAATTAAAAATAATAACAATATTAAAGTTTTAGTTTATGAACGTCGTTCTTGCTGTTAAACTATTATTATAATTATTAGGATTGTTATGATTATTGCTATTATTATTACTGTTACTTTAATAAAATTACATAAGTATTAGTATCAAATTATACTTAAAATACCAAACTTAGTCATTATGCAGAATGGCCCATTTCAGAATTATATATCTTATATTGTTGGATAATAATCATTGAAGCATTTATATGTTCAGCAGTTTGATATTACAGCTTGTAAAAGTGCAGCTAATTTAAATTGCTTTATATACTGCTGGGTGTCATAACTTAATTATATTACATCATAATATATTAGTTGATTTTGATTGTTTTTAATAATACAAATACGCAAAGAGACTAAAACTTTAAAATAAATGTAATGGAGTGAAAACAACAATATTTGCCTCCAGAATACAGTGGAGTAGAAGTATTTAGTAACATGAAATGGAAAGACTCTAGTAAAGTACGTCAAACATTTAATTAACACAATACTTAAGTAAATGTGGATGACATTCTATCCTATTATTGTGTGACATTTATATATATATATATATATATACATCACAGTTTAAAATGTAAGCTTTTATCTTTCCTTTTTTCAGTCCTAAGTTGAGAGGCAAATATTGAACGTTGTACGCTGATCAACAACTCTATCATTTTGTTGTTATTTAACATGCTGATTTGTGTATTTGAGTGTGTGGAAAGTTTTCTTTTTTTCTTCTTTTTTATTTGCAGAAATGTATAGTAGCTATGGTATACAAACTGTAAAAGTCCAGCACTTCCATTTTTTGTTTTTATCGAAAAGAGGAAAAACTAAACTTAAAAGCAACAAAAACAAACTAGGTTACAAAAAGCCTTTTTAGGTTAAATGTTATAGTAATTCAACAAGCTGTTTAATGAGTTATTGTTGTTGATGTTGTAGTTTTTCCCATTTTTTCCCTTTCTGTCACTTGATGTGTGATTATATTTTAAACTATTAAGAGACTAGTGTATTTGTGGAGGGCTGTTGAGTTGATAAAATGCAATATTTACTTCTCCTTGACTTTAAACACTGACTTTAAACAATCATATCTTGTACAGTTGGACATTTTTGAGGAATTAGTTTCACATCTGCAGCGTTGAGGTGAACACAATGACAGCGATTGTTTCCAACAGCACAGATAACTGAGCTGAGGAGACTTTGGTGTCCTGGAGCGCTGCCCAGAAGCTTGAAATTGGTGGGCGTAGATGAAACTCTCCTTTCTTTGCATATATACTCTGCAGAGAGCTTTACAATGTGTGGGCGGCTGCATGTGTGAGGAAGACAGGCACCATGGAAACCACCTAAATACCTCAGACCTTCTCCTCTCCGTCAGCGATGAAGGTGTGAGTCTGCCCAGTCGGGGTTTTTAATATATTCATCAATAGGCCTACACGGCAAATAATGTGTGACGAGGCCAGTGGGAGTATTATCACTTCAGCTGTAACATCATCTTTAATAACAAATGTTTTATTATTTCATTTAACTCTCAGTCTCACTTCTAGCAGGTCAGCTGGTCACTTTAATGAGCGTTTATGTACTTTATATATTTATAGATAATCAACAACAAAATATACATTATAATATGTGGAATATCTTCGGGGTTTTTGGACGTTGGTCCAACAAAACAATAGTTTGAAGATGTTATTTAAGTCAAATTCTGATGGAGTTTTTATTATTTTGTGACCATAGTTTGTGACATTTTATAGACATAATGATTAATCATTAGAGTTGAGATAAATAATCCTTCTTCACACCCCTATAGTCCTGAGTCATTTTCATTGTGTTAGCTTCTAATTAAAGGATAAGACTGGCGATATTCTAAAGTCCCATTAATACACCAAAACCATCGCTCAAAACCTCCCCCTTCATTGGTTCCGACTGAAAACAATTGATTAATGGAGAAAACAGCAGTAGAATCCAACTTTTACATTAATGCAAAAGTAATAATAATCTAATGATATAATATATAATAGTATAACAGTCACAGGGGCCCATCTCTCTGCTTTAAGTATTTCCTAATTATACTTAGGCCTACATACCTTTTCGACTTTTCCATGTTGTAAGAGTATTTTTATAGTTGTAGTACTTTTATTTTATTAAAGGATCTGAATATTTCCTCCACCACTAAAGAAAAACTATGTACGAGTTATTTTATTACCATTTTTCTGTGTATTTTTGTTTGTTTAGTAGCGTTCAATGTTTACGTAATGACGTAACAACCGAGCCACGCTACGCTGACGTCAGGAGGTCGGAGTTGAAAGCTTGACGGATGAGGGCTCGTGCTTGGACGGTTCGCGGGAAAACGTCCCAAAACAAATCGGTTTCTGGTGGACACGCAACCAACTTCGGACACCGTTTTGAACTAATCGATGCGTCAAACTAATCGATCTGACTAATAGGAGCGTCGTCTTCAAAACGCGGTACTATAGCAACCAAATAGCTACTTTAGGTAGCTCTAAGCTAACACAACAGTGCTAATCTGTTAGCACGGCTGTGCACGAGAGGTGACGGTTAAGGACTCGGTAACCATCGGAGAGAAATGGCGGAAAGACCCGAAGACCTGAACCTGCCTAACGCGGTGATCACGCGCATCATCAAGGAGGCGGTGAGTGTAACGCCACGAAGAAGGAATCTTTAACTGAAGTAAAAGTATCAATACTACAGTGTAAACAAATACTACTATTACAAAGTAAAAGTATTCTATTCATAATGTCTCCTGTGACAGAGATAATATATTATA